AATGAAGAAAGAAAATCATGCAAAATCACGGATTGCTGAAAAAATAATGGAAAATTACGATACATGCTCTAATGAAAAATGATGAGAAAATTGCGCACTATGACCAATAAAATATGAAATTTGTGCAAAACATGACGGAAATTTGGATATTGATATGATACGATGAGCAAAGGCCTTTAAAGCACAGCGGGAAGGGATTGGGGGGGGTCGCAATATTTGCAAATAAAATAAAATCATAAATCTGATCAAAGGTGCTGAAAAATGGGGCAGCTGATGTAAAATTGATACAAATATTGAAAGAAAATCATGTAAAATCACGGACCGGTGAAAAATAATGGAAATCTACAACCCATTTTGTGATGAAAAATATGATAAGAAAATTGCGCACTATGACCAGGAAAACATGAAAATTGGGAAAAATCAGGGAAATTAGGATATGATGTCAGACCATGAGCATGGCAAGCATGCCTTGCCTCTAAAAATAACGAGGCGATTGGAAGGGGCGCAGCCCCCCCCATTTGCAAACAAAATAAAGATCATAAAATATGATCAAAGGTGCTGAAAACTTCTGGCAGCTGGTGCAATTGGATATGAATAATGAAAATCACGCAAATCACGGATACTACTGAAAAAATATTGGAAAACTACGACACATGCTGGGATGAAAAATGATGAGAAAATTGCGCACTATGACCAGGAAAGTATGAAATGTGCGCAAAACAAAGGAAATTAAGATATTGATATGATGTAAAACGATTAGCAAAGGCAAGCATGAGTTGCCTTTAAAAACAGCGGGGGAGTTGGGGGGGGGGCGCACCATTTGCAAACAAAACAAAATCATAAATCTGATCAAAGGTGCTGAAAAATGGGGCAGCTGATGTAAAATTGATACAAATATTGAAAGAAAATCATGCAAAATCACGGACCGGTGAAAAATAATAGAAATCTACAACCCATTTTGTGATGAAAAATATAATAAGAAAATTGTGCACTATAGCCAGGAAAGCATGAAAATTGGGGAAAATCAGGGAAATTAGGATATGATGTCAGACCATGAGCATGGCAAGAGGGTTGGAGGGGCGCAGCCCCCCCCCCCCCCATTTGCAACAAAACAAAGATCAAAAGATGATCAAAAGTGCTTGAAAATTATGCCAGTTGGTGAAAGTGGATATGAATGATGAAAATCACGCAGATCACGGATACTGCTGAAAAAACAATGGAAAACTACGGCATATGCTATGATGAAAATGATGAGAAAATTGCGCACAGTGACCAACATAACTTTAAAATCATGCGAAATCACGTAAGTTATGAAAATGAGAAGCAACCCTGGCAAATGGCGAGTAATTTGGAAACATGTTTACAAACAGATCATGATACATCATGCAAATGATGCTGAGCGTGATGAAAACTGATGAAAAACGTGAAAATCAATGAAAATTGATGAGCAATCCTTCCTTCCTTCCTTTCTTCCTTCCTGCCTTCCCTGTCCTCCCTGCTTTTCTGTCTTTCTTACCTGCTCTTCTTCCTTCCTTGATTCCTTCCTTCCTTGCTTCCTCGCTTCTCTACTAGGATTTCTTCTTTTTTTTTATCCTCGCGTGCGCCGGCTGGGGGACCGCTTTTCCTTGGATCTCTCTCTATATGTTCAGATTTTGTTTTTTTTGATCCTTATTTGTTGTTTTGTTGATCCTTATCTGTTTTTGTTTGATCCTAATTTGGTTTGTTTGATGCACATCCCTCGTTTTCATGGGCAATTTCCGCCAGCTTCAATTCACGTCAAGGCCTACAGTATCAGGTTCACATCAAGCTTGTCAGCTCCAACAAAGCTCCGGTGCTCGGAGAGACCGGACAGCAGCTCCGTGCTGCTTTGGAGTGTTCCACAGGATTCATGCGCTTGGAAATCCTAGTGCAGCCTTTGGTTGCCCTGAGTAAACTTACAAGCTTGTTGTGAAGGAACCCAATGCTTCCAGCATTTGCTGATTCACTTGGGCGATCTGAAGTCCACTCCAGCCTGCGTGCAGGGGCTTTAGCTGTCAGATGCGCACACGATGCCTGCACCTTGTCTTCTTGCTCATGCCTAGTTGGGAATGGGGGAACGGGTTTCAAGGACGATTATGCCCTGGATTACTACAGACCCCTACACAATCCATTCCCCCAATCTCATCTAAGCAACAGTATGTCTTCCAGCTTCTAGGGTCCGGGCGTAAGTTGCCAAGCCTCCGAGCTCCTCCTCGATGCGCAGAAGCTGATTGTACCTCTGCTAGTCAGTTGATCAAGAAGGTTATTCGTATGTTTGTTCATCTTATCAATTAGAATCATAGAAGTATTCGCAATAAACGAGCATATTCTTATTAAGCCCTTTTTACATGTAAAGAAGGGCTTGATAAGAATGTTCTTATTATTATCAATACTGTTATCATAAATTCACGATTACCAATCCTAAACTCTAAGAGGATGGGAGCCCGGCTTCGACAACCGCTCGGACCTGCAGGGCGCCCCGGTTTTGATCTGTCCAGTGCGGAGACCTGTCCAAATCAAGTAAACAATTCCATTCAAAGAATTAAATGCACATAGATAGATAGATAGATAGATAGACAGATGTATATATATATACATACACTACTGGAAAATAAAATGGAAAACGAAATGGAAACTGAGGTTATTGGGGGAACACTTCAATCTACCAACTGGTGCTTGGAACGGAGTGGGGGATTGAATATAGGGACGAGTATGGGGGTATATATCGGGTTTATTATAGGGATCCACTCCCCACTCTCCTAAGCACCAGTAAGTTATACACAGGGGATACAGGGGTTACATCGGGCTTGCCACGGAGGTATTTGGCCGCGTGGGTTTCTGGATTTTCAGGCTTCTTCGATCCGCTTTGTCAGGTTGACTTCGCTTGTAGCGTCGCTTTGGCCTGGGGAAATTTAAAGGGTGGGCGCAGTTTTACTGCAGACAAGACATCTCACTTGAATCAACCAGAGGCGAGCGCTACCATAAAAAAGGTAAAAATGACCTAGGGAAGACAAGGGTTTCTCATTCTCGGGATTCGTGTTGTATGGCTGTATGGCCAAGATCACACATTGCTCCAGCCATGGCTGGCGGGCAAGGTTCACATCTGGCACTGGCTGTTTGTTGCCTTCTAGTCCTCCGTCATGCTAAACGGTACCTGCCTGCAGAATTGCAGTCTTAAGAAGCTGCAGCATGTTTTTGAAATTTTGTGTGCTGCCTCACGGAGCAGGGATGGTTGCGCAGCACACGATGTGGCATGAGTCTGGTCACAAGGCTCTTCCTTGGAATCGCTTGCAGACGCATGCCCCTTTCAAAACAAAGCTGGCGACTGCAGCTGGGCAATCGATGTCCTTATGCTTTTGCCCTGCAGTGGAAAATGCAATCAACCACTACTTGGGGTTGTATAAAAACCCCTCGGCCATTTACTCATCCCGAAATGGCGTCATCGTTTTTTTTCTTGTTATCGTTTTCTGGTGTTTTGGCTGCATGCATGTACATGGTGTTGTTGCAGTACAAGAAGTTAATACAGCTAAAGCATAATATAACCTACG